AACACTCTTCCCCCTTATCCATATCTTCATGGCTAATATCTACTTATTAGTCCCACCTGTGCTCAACCCAATCATCTACAGTGTGAAGACCAAGCAGATTCGCCAAGGAATCCTCCACATGCTGTTCCCAAAAAAATCAATTCCAATGTGACATAGCCATGTTTCAAGTTAATGTTGGCATCATTCTTTGTGATGTAAATACATAGGAATTTGAAGTTGGTATGTTGGCAGCAGTGTCACCAACAATAGATGCTTAAGGAGCAGAGACAGAGTCTAATAGCATTGTGAAAGTGTTCAAGGGAAAGATGTTGACCAGTAGAATTATATAGCTTGAGTTAACATGTGCCTCATAATCTTTTTTTAAATATGAATATGTTAGTGTGGGGTATGTTAAAAATAATTTCCATCTATTCTCATTTCTAATCCCAGTCTTTATTCAATGCTACTTATCCACGAAGTTCCTTGACTATATTGCATATTATAGTTCCCATTTCCAAAAATCTTAGTAATAAGTTCTATTTTCTAAGATCTTTTTATAGCTACTTTGGTAGCTATAAATCAGCACTTTGCCTAATATAAAGAGACACCCAGTAATTCTTAAATGTATAAATTATAAAGAAATGGATACATTTTTGAATAAAGAATAACTAGTTTAGAGATTTCAAAGAAGAAAAACTTGGAGGAAGATACCCAACCTGTCAATGAGTCTACATTTCAAATGATGAAAGAGATCTGACTAAAATAAAACATATGAATTCACATTTCAGCATGTGTTGTACAACCAGATTTTCCATGAACCAATGTTTTCAGTCTGATTTTGATTTAAATGTCTTTTCCTTACCTCTTTATCCTATTTCTTAGAACCATCTCTAGCTCCAATAATCCATGTCCTTCAACACATTCACCTTTACCAAAGGAATAACAATCAAAAGTTAGTCAAGATACATGAATATCAAAAGTAGATAAAACTTTTGGTTTGAAGCATAAGCAAAATGAAATTGAGAGGAATAAGGATAATTTTGAGAGTGTGAGCATTGACATCTACTATTCTTTTGTAGGTAGCATTTATTTACAAACAAGCACCTTTAAAGTAAGAAAATGAAATACAACATGCTGTCTAATTTGTAGATATGGAACATTCCTTTTATACTATGTGCATTCCAAAAAAATAAAAGATATTAGCCTTTTTTTTTTTGCTCACAGAACTGCATTTTATTTATCACAACCTAGAATATAATTTTACATTCTGCTGAAAATATTTTAAGTGGAAGCTACTTAGAAACCCAATTTATTAACAGTTATATTCATAATATGCATGTAGTAAAACATGTAGAAAACACATTTTCTCAAAATGAAGATAATTCTTCACTATAAAATATAGTTGGTGGGAACCATAATAAAGACTGTTAAACATTTCTTGTTCTTAAAATAAAGAAGCTCTAATGTTCCTGCCTAGAATCTCAATATGACTGCAGATCTATTTCTCATTTGTATATGGACTTATAAGTTAACTGATACTTTTACTTATATTATCTTGTGTGATCAAGTTGTGTATGTATAGACACAAATATCTCCTCCAGATATTGACACTATACACTCTAGAGAGTCCCTATAGCCCTTAACCCTGTATTCCCATAAGACAATATCCTGCCACATTCTGGATGGTTAAGGGAGGATCTTGCAAATGCCATAAATTGAAGTGGTGGCATCTATAGGGTTACAGCCATTGTCCAACCTCTGTCCTGGGGATTTACATCTCGAGGGAATAAAGAAGACTTATTAACTCATCCTTGCTGAGAACTGGAAAGGTGTCTCATGGCAAGAGGAGCTATTCTACCAAGTACGTGAGACCTGGGAAAATAAAAGTGGGAGGAAATAGGAAATAGCCAGGGGGATGTTTGAGGCAAAACAAGGGAATACAAACCCCCAGAGTGTGGGAAGGGGAATAGGAGCCTGAGTCAAGAAGGCAGAGGTTTTCAGCCCATCACAGGACATAATCACCTCCAGAACAACCTTTATTGTTCGTGTTCATTTCCGTAGTATTCAAGTCAGATCAGAATTTTCTTGCAGGCTAGCGTAGGTGAACTGTCATAGTAAGTAGTCTCTCTGTGTGTGGTATGATGCTTACAAGATGAAGACTGTTTTCAAATAAACCTATAATCAGGTTTTGATTAGATCAAATAACCGTCAAAGTCACTCTCAGTACCAAATTGCAATAGTTTTTGTGTGACATTAATTATGACTTGGATGCCTAAACTCCACTTTATAAGTCCTTTTGATTTTTATGTTTATAAACTAGCTCTTAACTCCATTCTCCTCTGGGAATTGGTGGAAGTTACCATAAAAACTAGGAAAGGATCAGAAGCATTGAGATTAGGATTGCCCCCAAATTTCTGGACTAAAATGGATGGGATGGTGCAATAACAGGCATACCACATGGGGCATAGTTAATATATATAGTGTAAACTCAGAATGCTAATAGGGTTTCTTAGATTCCTATCTTAATGAAATCTCAGAAATTTCCTTTTCTTGATCAGATTTCCCAATTGCTCCAGGAATCTGCACTTTCCCTCTCCCAAGTCCAAAATTGGAATTAAAATATTTATAACATAGATAATGTCACTATAATTCATATTTCTGGCTGAATGGAAACTTCTCTTGATGAAAGTGATGGAGTGACTTTCAGTTCCTCAGCCTGCCTTGGTTGCTTTTGGACATGTTAATTTATAGTGTTGTCCTTTATGGGATGATATTATAGACTCTTTCCATATTCTCCTCCTACTCTTCATCCTTCAAAGAATTATTATTGCTTTTTCAAAATCAACAAGCAACTATAAACCAGAGACACACTACAGGGGAGGGGGGAGGAGAGGAAGGATTAGGATCAAAATAAGAAGGGTGGAATTGTATGGGGACTATAACCAAAATGAAAATGCATACATTGTGCAAAAATGAAAAATGATGTAAGAATTATATAAAGAAAAATATATTAAACATTAAAAAAAGAATTATTGTTGCTTTTTTGTTGTAATTATTGTCAGGTAAGTCTTCAGCATCATCATCATTATGCCATGGACACTATAAGAAAGACCTATGCTACTATTCTTCCTACAATATTGCCTTTAATCCATAGCAAAATCTTGTCAAATTGTGAGTATCTTTGGTTTACATAGAGGAGGCACTTTGAAATGGCACAAAATTTCATCTTTTCTAAAATTAAACACAAAGAAGTGTTGGGTTTCCCTGGTGGCCTAAGGTTTAAGTCTCAGTGCTACCACTGAGACTGCCCTCTGTGGCAGCCTGAGTTAGGGAGTAACCCACATGGCACAGCCGACCTCTCCTGATTCTCCCAGTGCTCCCCTCAGCAGTGTACTTTAGTCAATCTGCCTGTTCTGCTCCCCATTCTGTCCCTGGTGAATCCTCTCACCCCCCCACACCTCTGGCCTGTATCCCAGATTTTGTATGCATAAATAAATCTTTGAAAAAAAACCAAAGGCTCAAACTGTCCACCTAATGGATCTGACTCTTTAGCACCACACATAAATTTATTCATATGTTCTTCCGATAACCTAGCTCCATCACCTGCACACTATGTTGTAAAGATTGAAGTACATATCTCTGTAGTCCAGGTTGCACAAAATGTGAACAGAATTTAATTATAATATGATCTCAGAATGATTGAATTTAACTCTGGAATTTAGTTGTCTACTTTTTTTTATTATGGGGCTTTTATTTCCTAGAAAATTGGCATTATTAAATATCCATTGCATTCAGGATTTGTCTGCATAAAAAGATGAGATTATGTGAGATTTGAGTGACCCAAAGGGTGCGATAGACTTTACAAGACAAAAAGTATGTCAAATTATTAATTTATCATGGAAGTTAATCTATGTCAATGCTTATAAATTCTCAAAACAGTGCTTTGGTGTATGGATGCTTGCAAGTGACGAAAAAGTGAAATTTTGAGATGTCATTCATCTTTCTTCCTTCAGAAATTTTACATTACCAGCAAAGAAGTACTGGACTAAGTTAGGCAAATTATTTTGTTTGCATTTGGTCTGAGTAGATCAAATTTATTGTTAAGGTTATGCTAATAAGTCTTTACTAAGCATCATATTTTTGCAATTATTTTCTTTGTGTCATGAATTTATCCTTTGACTTTTCACAAGCCCGAGCTAGCCTTTTGCATTTTTGTTGGAAAGAAGCATTCTTTAAATGATTGATCACTTCTGAAACACAGTAGGAAGAAGTTTCTGAACAGCTTAAAATCAGGGTTAATCAATTCTACATTGTTTAAATTGTATAGATTAGTGTAATAAGAATATACTTGAAAATACATTTTATCATTATTTTAAGATTCACAAATTTTCCATTTAAAGTTATTTTAACCTGTATTTAGTTTTGGGAATGTTAAGACAAGACAAAATTAATATTAGATAGAGGACTATCTTTATAGAGGAGGCTTGTGTGTAAACTCATTGTAAAATGGAGTTATGTTAATAAGAATAAAGGCATGCTGACAAACAATTGCCTGAGTTCTATAAAGTGCTGGAAAGGAGTTCTAGCATTTTGAAAAAACTATCAAGCTTAGACAGAAAAAGCCATGTTGTGTTGATTACCGCAGAAATCAATAGGAGAATAAAGAGGCAACTAATTTAAGACTAGTGAACCCTGCCAAGAAAGTTATAAACTGAAAACTATCAACAAGAGGTGTGTGAACTCCATTAGTGTGTCGTAGAAGATATCACCCATATTTAGGGAATGGTGATTGAATTAAATCAGAAAAGCAGAAGGTAAGGTACTTGGGTTATTATGTGGATATATTATATAACTCACAACAGTCAAATAAGAAATGAAAAGCAGAAGTAAATATGGGAAAAGATTTGGGGGTTATTATAGGTAAACAATGACTATATACTTTCTTCCACAGATGCTGAACTTTCATCATTCCCATTTGGATTGTAATTGTGAGACTGGATTGAGGCTTAACACTAAGCACTATGGCACCCTTAAACTCCAGCAATGCCTTGTCCTCTACATTCTATCTCACAGGTATCCCAGGCTATGAGGAATATCACCACTGGATTTCCATCCCACTCTGTTTCCTATGCTGTGTTGGAATCATGGGCAACTGCACCATCCTGCATATTGTCCGGACAGATTCCAGACTCCACGAGCCCATGTACTACTTCCTGGCCATGCTTTCCCTCACAGACATGTGCATGTCCACGCCCACAATGATCACACTCTTCAGGGTGTTATGGTCCATTTCCAGGGAGATCAATTTCAGCGCCTGTGTGGTCCAAATGTTTTTAATTCATGCCTTCTCCTTCACTGAGTCATCGGTGCTCGTGGCCATGGCTGTTGACAGGTATGTGGCCATCTGCCACCCTCTAAGATATGCTACCATTCTCACTCCAAGACTTATCATTAAAATTGGAATTGTAGCCGTGCTTAGGAGTTCCTGTCCCCTCATTCCACTTCTGATCCGGCTGGCCTTCATTCCTTTCTGTCGCTCCCACCTCCTTTCTCATTCTTACTGTCTGCACCAGGACATTATTCGCCTTGCCTGTGCTGACATCAAATTTAATGTAATATATGGGTTGACTGTGGTCATTATGCTGTGGGGTGTGGATGCTCTGGGCATTTTTGTGTCTTATGTGTTCATCCTTCATTCAGTGTTAAAAATGTCCTCCCGTGAAGGAAGGTTTAAGGCCCTCAGCACATGTGCATCCCACATCTGTGCTGTACTCATTCTGTATGTGCCCATGATTGGACTATCCATTATCCACCGTTTTGCCAAGCACTCGACCCCTCTCATCCACATCTTCATGGCTAATATCTACTTATTAGTCCCACCTGTACTCAACCCAATTATCTACAGTGTGAAGACCAAGCAGATCCGTCAAGGAATCCTCAACCTGTTCCTCCCCCAAAAAATCAGTTCTAGCTTGACTTAGCCATGTCCTCAAGATAATGATGGCATCAGTCTTAATGCAAATACATAAGCAATTTATCTGATGTAGGTCTGTTGGCAGCTGTGTTACCAGCAATAGAATACTTAAGAAGAAATAGACCCAGAGAGCATCACGAAAGGGTCTAAGGAGGGAATTGGTGTCCACTGAACTATAGAGGCTGACTTAACCTGTGCCTCATAATTCTGCTTTAACTATGAGTGTGTTTCTGCAGAGTGCATTGGAAATAATTTCCATCTGTTCTCTGCCATTGCTAATCCTAAGCCTTATTCAAGGTCACTTTTCCATGAAGTTTTCTTTGAATATGCAGAACCCATATTTCTTTGCTTCTTGATTTTTCTATATTTGTCAGGGAATCTTATATTATCTTCCTCATATTATAAATGTATTTGTAATTTTATTTTTTTTTTAATGTCAGAGAAGTTCCTACCCTGGTATAAATAAGATCATATTACAGCTCAGATAGAAGTCTCAAGTTCTCATGGTGCATCAATATCATCTTCTAAATGGAAATTTTTCTGTCCATTCTGAGGAGATTTGATTTTCTTAGTAATAATAGTTAACCTCCATATTTTTATTTTATTTGATTTTTAGAAATAATTTTAATCTCATATAAAGTTGAGATTCAGTAATTTTTTAAAATCCCACATATTGTCATGTGAAGACAATGATTGTAATTAATTGCTTTAAGTGTATATACATAATAATTTAAGGTAAACTATATAAATATAAAAATGTATTTAATCTTATAATAGTTCCTTGTAATTTGCTAATAGCAGAAATCAGATAACAGATTTCTCTGAATTTTCATGTGGAATTCCTTTCTATATACAAAACTTCTTAAAAGCATGAACATTTAATTGAATAGTTTTAGTTCATGTGTCTTCATTTGAATGTAAAAATAAATGAAGGGCAAGCAGAAGACTTTAAATATGACTTTTATGTACCAATATTTTATTATTTTTAGTAACGAATATGCTTTTACATATCTTATTCTAGCTGCCATTGGAATCATGCATCAAAAAGCTTTTACCTGTTTGTAGCAGCACTGTGCTTAGTGGAAAAAAGACACTAAATAATTTTGAATGTATAATGTTAATGACATGAGTCAATCATTGAATAAAGAATGAATACTTTGCATATTAAAGAGTATGGGGGAGAGTACTAAATCAGTCATGAATCTACATTTTATATAATAAAAGACTCTTCCTATTTTATAAAGTTAGGATTTCAAATTTTAGGACAAGGAATGTATTTTGAATGTGCATGAAATTACATCTGTTCTCACCCCTTCCTAACTTATTTTTTGATTCAATGCTTAGTTACCCCTCTACTTCAGAGTATTCTTCTTGATCAAAGGATAATCAACTACCAGTAATGCAAGATCTATAACCATGAAAATTACAGAATACTCTTGGTGTAATAAAGAATGTAAAATTGATGGGGAAAAGGAAAATATAAAAATTACTAATGGCTGTGCATTTTATAAGTGGTATTTAACTATGTTCAATCATCTTTTAAAATAGGCTCTTAAAATATAAACTATATTTTTATTTTTCCTAATGCTGTGCTCCAAAAAATGAAGTTTTGACAATTTCTTTATTCTCAGAAATATATTTACACTTTCACATACTAGATTTTCAATTTCATTTACCATACATAGCTCAACTTCTGGCTTGCAAATTATTATCAATTATACAAGGTCTTGAAATTCATTGTTAAAATTATATTCATAAAATATTTTAACCAAAACATTTAGAAGACATTCTCAAAATGAAGTTAATTCTTCCCTATAGAATATGGTTGCTGAGTAACTGAATATGTGAATGAATGAATAGCAATTATTTTTTAGAAATTGAGAATGACAGTATTATGTTTTGGGGGAATCTTAATGAAGCCTGATAAGGACCTAATGCTCCTTAGAAAGAAGCTCTCTTGTCCTTCCTATGATTACAATATGATTAAAACATCTATTTCGTTAGAACATAGATGTATAAATTGATCAGTTCTGAAACACAAAACTGAGAAGTTTCTGTTACCTTAAAATCACAGTGGGACAATTGCATTGCATAAAGTTTAAGTCAATTATCATAATAACATTGGATTATTTTATTATATTACTACATATTTTACTGAAGTATCGCTGCATTATAGCATTATGTAAGTTGCAGGTGTTCATCATTAAGAATCACTATGAAGAGATACACTATTAAGTTCACACTAAAAGTCAAAATCTGTCTTTCACATCTAATTTTTCCTCATATACACACCCTTCCTTTCTCCTATCTCTCCTGGTAACCACTGAATTGGTCTTATAGTCAAAAAATTATTTTTATTTTCCTAAGTTTATTTATTTGTTTTCTCTACCACCTATGAGTGAAATCATAAGGTGTTTGTCTTTTTCCATTTGACTTGTTTCACTAAGCACAATACCCTTTAGTTTCCTTCATGTTACTGCAAATGACAGGAGTCCATCTTTATAGCTGAATCCTATTATATTACACAGATACACACACACACACACACACACAAACTTCTTGATTTTGTGTATTTCTCTGGGAATCTTATGTTGCCTTCCTCATTATAGAAATGGCTTGTAGTCCTTATTCTATATTTATAAAGATGGAAAAGTCTTAATAAAAGAACAAGTGGTCAGTTCTCATGGTGCATCAACATCATCTTTTAAACACTTGTAGACTTTCTGCCCTTTTTTTTAAAGATTTATTTATTTATACAAGAACCAGGGTACAGGCCAGAATCACAGGAGGGTGAGAGGATTCACCAGAAACAAAGTGGGGAACAGAACAGGCAGACTGACTGAAACACACTGCTGAGGGGAGCAGTGGGCAAGACAGGAGAGGTCTCTACACCATGTGGGTTTCTCCTTGGCCGGCAGGAATCAAACCCACGCTGCAGAGGCTGCGGAAAGCTTCACAGTGCGGGGCTCAACCACCTGCACCACCAGGAAAGACCCCTTTCTGCTCTTTTTGAGATTTAGTTTCCTCAGGAAAAAAAGCAATTTCCATGTTTTTTCTTTTGCTTAATTTATAGAAATAATTTTAATCTTACAGAAAGTTGAAACTCAGTAAATTTTTAAAGCCCCCAGACACTTTCAAATGAAGCCAGTGAGGATAATACATTGACTTAAATTTATCTTTCTGATACTTTAAAGTGCACTTTATTTAAATTTAAAAGTTGCTTTTGCACAAAGTACCAGCGAAACCTGTGCGTGAAGCCATCCTGTACATTCCAGGGCAGATACCCTCTCACTGAAAGCAACCCCACAACTCAGGAGAACCACCCAGTCAATGCTCAGAGTTATGAAAAACAATAAAGTCATTGTTATTTCAAAACAGAGACTCAGAAACTGTGTGTCACATGCTTCTCTACAACATTCAAGTTAAAAATGAAAGTTAAATTTCTAAGTGCTTGAAAGAAATCGATCAAAAAATATTTTCTCATTATACCTGAAAACAATCTAAAACCCAAATTTCAGTGCCCATGAATAAAGTGCTATTGGAACACACTCAAGAAATTAAAAATCAAAGGAATGTGAATTGTAACTACCTATAAGTCTGTGGTAGCAGACAAATAATATATGTCTCTTAATTTCTGTATAAAACTCTTTTCAATTTACAAAACTATGTTTTAGTGTAGAATGCATTGTTATATAAAAAAACTGGCAAATTGAATAAATTTTCTTAATTCACATATCTATATTTGTTCAAATAGAAAAAATAAAATAAGGGTAAAAGAGTATGATTCTTAGTTCCCAATAAGTAATATGTACACGTATGTTTTTCTTGCACCCTCGTATCTGTGCCTCAAGCCGTTGTTACTGCTTATTAACCAAGTGGTACATGTTTTCTGTTGGAGAAAAGGGATTGCGTTGCAAGTGTTACGATGTTTTCTAGTTCATAAAATATACCATAGGTACTATAGGAAGCAGTTAGCAAAAATGCTTGGCACAGGGAGAGCTAAACTAGGAATACTGAATGTACTCATGCGAAAGAGCCAAATGAATCCAATGAACATAATTCTGACCATTTGCGATCATATTCTTTTTTTTTTTTTTTTTTGGAATTTCCCTGACACAATTCTATCACCATTAAAGGAGCATATGAAGGGACTTAGCAGATTGGTCCAGGTCTAACAATATCAGTATGGAACATTTATATTCCTTGTCTATAGTCATTTCAACTCAGGTAGAATAATGTCAGGCAACCCAGTAAAGAAGCTCATGCTCCCCTGCTGTCAAGTTCCTAGAGTGGTCTGCCTTTCGTCCTTCCCAAATTATAGGTATTCAAAATACCCTTGAATTTACGACAAAGCTTGTAAGCCCACCTTGCTAATAAGAAATTCTTATTTGTTTGTTTACTGAATCTAACCAAAAGTAAATTTTTATTGTGCATAACCAAAAAGATCTTGATTACACTAAAGTACTAACTCATATATGAAATAGATATTTTCTGTAAGCTAAGGGAATGTTTTTTGAAAGGAAATGAAAGGGAAGGAAAGGAAAGGAAAAGAAGAATTTTAATGATTAATTCTTTGAATTTGTTACATAAAATCCATTAGTATTTATTTAAGTCATGCATCTATTCAAAACATTGTTTATTAAATTATTTATACATTCTGAATCCTGTGATGTTCTGATTAGGTTGGGTGAGAACTAATGCTTGACCTCATAATAAAGTTTACATTTTTGTCCCATTCATAAAAATTGGCATAGTTCATTGTCAAAGGAATTTTAATTTCCTATGCCATTGTAGAGACATTCCACTGATTATTTCCTTGCCATGCTGTCATACTCCTTCATGGGGCCTGACCAGTTACCTGCTAGCTTCTTGTTTACCTGATGAGAGGAAGAGCGGACATAAGAAAATATGAATATTTTAAGATGTACCCAGAGGTTAAATGTTCTGGGGATTGCCAGCCCAGATTGATTTAGACTTGACATTTAAGACTGGTCCTCCATCCTGGCCTCCCCACTCCTTGTTGCTTCATAACCGCCATATCATTTTGGTTGGTTACAGAGCCCTAGTACTCGCACCCTTATCTCCTTTGTCTTCACTCCATAAACAATGGGGTTCATGGTAGGTGGCACCAGTAAGTAGAGGTTTGCCAGGAGGATAAGGGTGTGCCTGGGCACTTGCTTTCCAAAGCGATGGGTAAAGAAGGAAAAGAAGGCCAGTGTGTAGAATATCAAGATGACACAAATATGAGGCCCACAGGTTCCAAAGGCCTTTCTCCGGGCCTCTTTAGAAGGTAGTTGGAAGACTGTTCTCAGGATTAGCCAGTAGGACAGGGAGATGAGGACAAAGTCCAGCCCTGTGGTGAGGAAGGCAGCGGTGAGTCCATAAATGCTATTAGGGGCAATGCTATTACAGGCCAACTTGGCTATGGCCATGTTCTCACAGTAGGTATGATGGATGATGGTGCTCCTGCAGAAGTGCAGGCGAAGAATGAGGAGGACTCCAGGGGTGACTACAATCACACTTCGGGCCACCAGAGTCAGTCCCACCTTGCTAATCAAAGAGCCTGTAAGTAGGGTTGTATAATGGAGAGGTGCACAGATGGCCACATAGCGATCGAAAGCCATGGCCAGCAGAACTGCCGATTCAGAGAGGAACAGAGCGTGGACAAAAAACATCTGTGTGAGACAGGCAGGAAATGATGACAAAGAAGGACCCTGCCAGAAGATGAGAAGCATTTTGGGCACTGTGACAGTACAAAGAATGACATCATTGAGTGCCAACATGGCCAGGAAGAGATACATGGGCTCATGGAGGCTTCTGTCCCAAGCTACCACAGCCAAAACCAACCCATTGCCTATTACAGCCAAAAGATACATGAAGCCGAAAGGGATTGAGATCCAGATTTGCACGTCTTCTAATCCTGGGACTCCAGTTAGCAGAAAGGCAGTGAAGTGAGTGGATGTAGAATTGGATGTTGTTACAGAGAGGTGGCCAAAGTCTGTTACATGAAAAACAGATAAAATAGCTACAATGAATAATAGTAGAAAATGTATATTTATTCCTTCATTCTAGTCAGTCCTAACCATGAATTTTGGCATGATGTAGTAGAAGAATAAAATGGTTTAAGAAAAATTACCAAAGAGCTGAAGGATTATAGGCAAACCACTTCTCTTTTATGAAATACCTTGATCTCTGAAAAAAAGCTGAATCAGAAAAATTAAGAGTTGGATTATATTTTTTGTAATGCCAATTATTATAACCACATAATTTTTGTATATGTCTTTTGAACTTTAAATTATTTTATGTATTTTTTTTACGTTTCTAACTTGATTATAAGCTTTCAAATTTAAAAAAAATGTAATTTTTCTCTGTTTTTATTTTCTCTGAGTAGAAGACTGGAGAAAATTAGAATTTTATCTTTGATATGCAAATTGAATGGGAGGGGAGGGATTAGGTGGTGGACTATAGTGGAAAAAGAATGAGCTTTGTTTCTAAAGGTGTGAGATATGTTCACTTGGCCTAATTTTTCTACAGTAAAGAAAAAACAGTTCCACTCAACTGCCTCTCATCTGAAACCTAGAAAAAATTTTTGAATTAACATAAGATTTAAACATATATGCAAAAGAAGTAATATTATTCTTACCCTATTAGTTACTACCTATCAAGAATCATGAAATGAAGTGAAAAAAGACTAATAAAAATTCAGAGTACAAAATATTTTCTCAGAATAAGAAGTCACTAAAGAATGTCAAGATCCATAGTTATTCAAAATCTGCCTCAATTGCTGAGCAGAACAACTATAAAAAAATTCCAAGTTTAGCATATAGTAAAGCAGCAGTGGTTCTTGATTTTAATATATATATAAAAAATAACAGTAGCTTCTAAAAAATACCTCAAATATAAAATCACTAATTTTCCATGGCTAGGAGACTTTATTCAATTAGTCAAGTTTGTAATCAAATGCAGTAGTCTTAGCAAAGTCACCTTGTATGTTTAGCGACACTTTCTGAGTGCAACTCTTAGGAAATTTCAGTTATGGGTAATAAATAAATGCTGTTTCATCTGAGAAAAATCTTCAAAATCTGCTATTTACACAGGCTCCACTTTTCATGAGGGGCTGTCACATCCTTATGTAGATGGAAAACTCCCCTTCAATTTCAAGAATGGTCCCTTGAGTTAATGGAAATTCACTTCAGATAATTTCAACCCTTAACAAGGAAATAGGGCATGTCAACACATCATTAACAAATATTGATCCTATTCTCCCTCACATTCATTCTCTCGCTCTCTCTCTCAAAATTCAGAAAAGGCAGCCATGCTTTAATGGTGCCTGTCACTACACCAGAAGGATCTTATACTTCCAAAACTGTAACAGGTATGTAAAACCAGTAAACTTCAATAAAAAATAAATAAATACATTTCTTTTGGAACAGAATTAAGGCACAGCATTTCAAAAGCAACTAACACAATGAAGAGGAAACTAAATGAAATAACAATAATATTAAAAATAGCATAAAGTCAAATTCACAAAGTCCAAGTTTCTGAATCAAAAATCTCCAAATAAAAGCAACTAACATGTTTCCTTGGAAAAAAGATATCCAGAAAAGGAAAAATAATCATAAATTTTTATGACAAACTTTAATGAAAACTCTGCAATGGATGTTAATTTTTTTTGTCATTGAAAGTATGGAAGTGTAACCACCATATTACTTGCCTTTTTTTTTTGTAAGATTTATTTATGCATACAAGAGTTAGGGCACAGGCCAGAGATGTGGGGGGTGAGAGGATTCACCAGAGACAGAGTGAGGAACAGAACAGGCAGACTGACTGAAACACACTGTTGAGGGTAGCAACAGGTGAGACAGGAGAGGTCTGCTGTGCCATGTGGTTTCTCCCTGGCCATCTGGGGATCGAACTCGTGCTGCAGAGGCTGCAGACTGCTTCATAGAGCGATACTTAACCTCTTGTGTCACCAGGGAGGCCCTGTTACTAGCCGTTTAAGACTGATGCTTTTCATTTATGTGTCTGTCTCTCAGCAAGGTCTGACTTTGCTATACAGAAACTACACAGAATAAACCAGCATTTGGGAAATTGAATACATCACATAGATGAGCACAGGAAGAGTGATATAGTAGTAAAGGTAAAAATAATAATTGCTATTATTTATCACTGCTTACCATGTGCCACACATTTTCCTTAAAGCTATTCAAAGAATTTCATATGGATTATTCTACTAAATTGTCACAGCTACTATATTTAATAGCTAGGATTAGTATTGTAATTTTATAAAGGCATTGAAAGAAATTCCCAAAGTCACACCACTAATATTTATGTGAGGACTGTCTTCAAATCCAGGGAATTAAATTGTAGAATCCACAACTTTAACCACTAACAGATTATAATTTACCTTTTAGATGCATGACTTTTCTAAACCATCGGAAACATAAAAAGGCAGATCTTGAACTTCCTTAGTACCTCCTATAGCAGTGTTCTTAGGTCTAAGGGTAAAAACTCATGAGAAGTTTAAAAGGACTCAGAGAAGATATTCATCTGTAGTGTACATTCATATTTATAAAAATAACCCAGGGAATAATCTCTGGGCTGAGAAGTCTTTTGGGTATTTTGCATTTTGTTTACACCTGAGACCCACAGTCAGTATTTGATTTACCCAACTAACCTTCTCTCTCATACTTGTGAAATGATATTTTCTGGTTTTGTACTGCATTTGATCATTCCCCACCCAGAACAAATCTGGGGGCAATATTTTCTCATTTTTTCCTAATAAGTATGTGGTCCTTAGAGAATAGTATAAAACTGATTAGGTTTCTTATTTCATGGCTTTTCTGGAACATGAACAACTTACTGTTGCAGCTTTTTTAACACATGTCAGTGCATTACCAGGTGTCCTTTAGTGAGACAATTTGAGGTTTTGCTAAGGAAGAGTGTGGCAGAATATTGGGAGAACTTCCTCTTTTCAAATGAAGCTTTTCAAAAATAAATATATGTTACTTGTATAGCAGTTTTAGGTTCACAGAAAAATCAATGGAAAGTATAGAATTCACATACATCCCTTTAACCTCACCTATGCAGTTTCCCCTATTATAAACATCCTGCATTAGTGGAATACAGTTGTTTAATTGATAAGCCAGTATTTACAGTTTTACTAGTTTACAAGTTCATAGCTAACATTAGGCTTCACTCTTCCAGTTGTATATTCCAAGGGTTTGATAACTATATAATGACATACATCTACCATTGTAGTATTATGAATAATAGCTTCACTGCTCTATATACCCCCTGTGTTCTATTTATTTCTCCCTCCCTCTAATTCCCTGACAACTGCTGATATTTTATTTTATGACATTTTTCCACAATGTCATAAAGTTGGAATCATATAGTATCTAGTCTTTGCAAGTTGTTTTCTTTCATTTAACAATAAACATTAAAAAATCCTTCATGCGTTTTTGTCACTTGACAGCTCAATTATTTTTTAAACTGAATAATATTACATTGTATGGATGTACCACTGTCCAAGATATCTTGGTTTCTCTAGCATATATTAGAGTTCAACTATTCAGATATTTGTCCCAATTTTGTTTGATTTTATTGTTGTATTTAGTCCCACTAAGTCTTGACTTCCTTCTGAATTTATATCTCAAGGCAGCCTGGGTGCTAGACCCCTACAGGGAAAGCTTCCTTTTAATATCAACAAACCCAAACATTTGAAACCCACTTTGCACTTTTTATTAACCATGAATAGCTGAGGGGACATGAGTCTTCTGGGACTTCTTCATCCATTATTTAATTTGAAATTATTAACTTTTGACTATTTGATAAGAACATTCTAGGAATAATCCAGATTAATTTATAGAATGTATATAGTAGATACTCATTAAATTTGAATTTGAACTCAACTTCAAAGGTCATATAAACATAGTTTATGTATAAGTTAAAATCTCTCATGTAATACTTTCTATAATATATTTCGAAAACCCTCTTATTTACTTGCCACAAATGCTCACCAAGCTGATTTATTTTTAGCTAGAAATGTTTGTAGTGCAGATGTGAAACATGATTGGAAGTATATGGGATTATCTGAGAATCTACAGTGATAGAAGTATTTCTGTTTTGTAGCATCGGCTGCCTTCCTTTGCCCTGTAACATAGTGTTCAGTCAGGGCACAACTGGATTTATGGTGTGGCAGAAACACAGAGTCAGGAACCCTTGCGTTTCCAGATGCAAGGACCAACACTGAGACATGGAGACATTCTATGAAGTGGTAGAAATAGAATGGAATCATCCAGTGACTATAATCCATTAAATAGGTTTTATTTATATTTTTTCTCGTGTAAATATCAGACTTCAGGAATTCCTATTTTATGTATTTTCAGTCAATGTAAGGAAGTCTGCATCTCTCTCTGGATGTGACAATAAGTATATTAAGTGTATTATTAGTAGAGAAATGTTTTTTGGCTATAGACAATAGACTATACAACTGCAATTTGCCTTGAAAAAGGTGAATTTGCTCCTGTAATTATAAAATCAAGAGAGGTTTATTTTACAATGGTGTAAGGATGCGTAGTTTGAACACAGCCATGATTCAATCTCTTTCTTTTCTTGCAGTTCTCAGTTTGCTTCTTTACTGTTGATTTTGCTCTTAGCAGGCATTCCGTTCATGGTTTCCAGATGGCAATTCCTGCGGGGTATACTTCCTCATTTACATGCAGCAAGAAATAGAATCGGTACAGTATTTTCAAAATAATATCTAGAATTAATCCTATTCTCAATTGATGCTGAGTGGCCTGTATTGAGTTATATTTCTTGATCTAATAATAGTGACAAGGTGAACTGTTTGTTGGTATTAAAGACTATCAGATTAAATCTAATAAGAACCAGAAACTGGCTAGGTGAAATGTGTACCCTGGCATTAAGACAGTAAGAAACTGCCTTGAAGATGTGGTGAATCCTATTCAAATTTCATAACTGAGAAATTTGGAATAGGGTTAAGAATAGGAATGGGTAATGACTGCTGAGGTGGCGACTAATAAATTTAGATGCATCTAGATTTATTAGTATTATTATTAAAATCATAACTCATTTATTTATGATTTTAGAAGCATCTAGAGTAGTCCTTCCTAAGAAATAACTTTCAGAATGAGTAACCAAGAATGTCTTAAATAATTTGGTATGTCCTGCTCTTTCTACCCTGAAAATAGGTGTAGTCAAGCTGGCAAAGCAAAATAAAACAAAACAAAAACCTGTAATCTTGTGGGGATTTCAGTATTAGGTTTGAATTGAAATAGCTGCATTTCAGGGTTTCTTTACTCCCTAGATTCAAGACCATTATTATTGCCTAGTATTTTCTAAAATTCATATTGCATTTATGGAGGTTCAAAGAAATAAAAAAGATTTCTTCAATGGAGATAAGTAGTGTGATGCTACTTAGTGGTTGGAGATATAAAGCAAATCAGTACAAGCTGTCTTCATATGTGATTTTATGTTCTAACATTTAGGGCTTTCTGACTACATAGGTTATTGAGAATCCAACATTTATTTGTATAAATATTGTCATCTATGATGATTGAGTTACTTGAGAGAAATGAAAGGCTGTGAGAAATTGTTGCTATCTTCAAAAACTTCCAGAACAGTGAGAAAAATAAACATGTGGAGGTGGGCAGAGCAACATGGCGGCGAGGAGACACTGCGAGTAAGATCTCCCATTAAAAAAAGTTAATAGGGAGGAAAAGCGGCAGGTCCCAGTGAGAACTGGGACACGGAAGATAAACGGACGACTCCAGCAAACTGCCCGAAGAAGAAAGTTGCCATAAAAGAGGACGAGAAGGGAGGGAAGCGCAGAACCCTGCTCCCCTCCCCCGCCCACAAAGTCGGCACTCTCCCACCGGCAGAGAGGAGGGAAACAACAAACCAAAACGGCCAACAAGAAAAACGGACACAGCAAGCGGGACTGTGAGTGGAAAGGAACTATTGCAGCCACCACACCCCGTGAACGGGAGCTGAGGCGAACCCTGCAGGATCCGCTGCGGAGGTGAGCTCCAGGCGCCATTAAAGAGAGCCCCGCCCCCCAGGAGGAGACCAGCACCAGCACACAGCCCCGGCCGCCTGGCTGCTTGAAACTGACAGATGACTCCTGGAAGAACCAGAGGGGAACAGAGAAGCCCACCCAAGATGCCGGCCAGTCCCAACAACACAGTGTCCCAACACATACGGCAAATTAGAAAACAGACAGTAGGGAGGAGAAGAACCACACGCAACCTAGCAACTCTCCAGAGAAAAAGCACACCACAAAAAGAAAGCCAGCCCCCAGATTGCAAAGACAATAACTTGGAAGAAATTCTGAGCCTTCCAGAAAGAGAATTTAAAATTGCCGTGATTAAAAAACTGATAGAAGTCATAAAGGAAAACAATGATAAGGGAAAAATAATCAACGATCAGAAGAATGCAATTGAGTCCCTAGAGAGGGAAAACAATGGTCAGAAGAAAGAAATTGAGTCCCTAAAGAGGGAAGTAAAAGAAATGCAGGAGATCAAAGAATTAATGGAAGAACTAAAGAATTCTGGGAAAAGCAATGAAAGCAGAATAGATGAAATGGAAGAACGAATAAGTAATCTTGAAGACACAGAAATAAAAAGAACCAAAACAGAAAAGGAAAGAGAAGTACGAAGGAAAAAGAACGAAGAAAGACTTCGGGAACTATCTGACTCCATGAGGAAAGGAAATATAAGAGTTATAGGAATACCAGAAGGAGAGGAGAGAGATGTAGGAACAGAGAAAATATTCAAAGAGATAATTGAAGAGAACTTCCCAAATGTGAAGAAGGAGCTGAAAATTGATATACAAGAAGCAAGAAGAACACCAAAGTTCCACGACAAAAGGAAAAATACAGCAAGACACATAATAGTAAAGCTCCCAAGAATCCAGGACAAGGAAAAAATAATGAAGCTGGCAAGAGGGAAGAAACAGATAACATTCAAAGGAAAACCAATCAGGCTGACATCAGACTTCTCCGAAGAAACACTACGGGCAAGGAGAGAGTGGAGGGACATAGTCAACAGACTCCAAGAAAACAGATGCCAACCAAGAATACTCTATCCCGCAAAGCTCTCCTTCCTCTTTGAAGAAAGAATATGGACCTTCCCAGACAAACAGAAACTCCGGAATTTCATTGCAACTAAACCCCCACTCCAAAAAATACTACAAGGAGTCCTAAAGCCAGAACCTCAGAGGGACGAATAACAATGAAAGAAGGCCAAAAAAAAAAAAAAGTTATTAAAAGAATAAATAAATAAATCAAAGGAAAGACAAACACAATGGCAAATACAGATGTTAACATATCAATATTAACTCTAAATGTAAATGGACTAAACTCTTCAATAAAAAGACACAGAGTGGCAGCCTGGATTAAGAAACAAAACCAACCTTTTGCTGTCTCCAGGAAACACATTTAGCTACAAAAGATAAAAAATAGGCTCAAAGTTAAAGGATGGAAAACAATCCTACAAGCAAATGGACCAAAAAAGAAAGCAGGAACAGCTATACTTATATCAGATAAAACAGATTTCAAACTCAAAAAGATAAAAAGAGACCCCAATGGTCACTACATTATGATCAAGGGGACAATACTTCAAGAAGAAATAACACTCATTAACATATACTCACCAAACGAAGGAGCACCAAAATATATCAGACAACTGTTGTCCTCTCTGAAAACAGACATCAGAGAAAACACATACGTAGTGGGAGACTTCAACACACCACTATCAACAATGGATAGATCAACAAGACAAAAAATAAGTAAAGAAACCAAAGCTCTAAATAAGGACCTAGAGCAATTAGGCTTAACAGACATCTATAGAACACTAAACCCCAAAAAACGGAGTACACATTTTTCTCAAGCGCACACGGATCATTCTCCAGGATCGATCACATACTGGGGCACAAGACAAACATCAACAGATACACCAAGATTGAAATCATATCAACCATCTTTTCTGACCATGAAGGCATCAAACTAGAAATAAACCAGAAAAAGAAGGCAAGGAACTTTCCTACCTCATGGAGATTAAAAACCACACTACTGGAAGACCATTGGACTAATGAGGAGATCAAAGAAGAAATTAAAAAATTTTTTGAATTGAACGACAAGGAGGACACTAATATCCTAAATGTATGGGATGCAGCAAAAGCAGTAATAAGAGGAAAATATATAGCAATAGAAGCTCACATCAAGAAACAAGAAAGAACGCAAAGAAACAACCTCATCTCGAAGCTCAAAGATCTAGAAAAAGAACAACAAAAAACCCCAAAACCAGTAGAAGAAAAGAAATAATAAAAACCAAAGCAGAAATAAATGAAATTGAAACTAAAAAAACAATCCAAAAGATCAATGAAACCAAGAGCTGGTTTTTTGAAAAAATCAATAAAATAGACAAACCCCTAGCCAGGCTCACAAAGGAAAAAAGGGAGAAAGCACAAATAAACAGGATCATCAATGAAAGAGGAGAAATCACAACGGACACAGCAGAAATCAAAAAGAATAATCAGTAACTACTATGAACAGTTATATGGAAACAAGTTTAACAATCTAGAGGAGATGGACAAATTCCTACAACTCTACAATCACCCAAAGCTAGATAAAGAAGAAATAGAACACCTAAACAGACCAATTACATGCAGCGAAATTGAAATGGTAATCAAAAACCTCCCCAAAAACAAAAGCCCAGGACCTGATGGATTTACAAATGAATTCTACCAAACATTCAGAGACGAATTAGTGCCTATCCTTCACAAACTCTTCCAAAAAATTGAGAAGGAAGGGACAATACCAAACACGTTTTATGAAGCCAACATTACACTAATACCAAAACCGAACAAGGACAACACAAAAAAGGAAAACTACAGGCCAATCTCCCTAATGAACACTGATGCAAAAATCCTCAATAAAATTTTAGCTATCAGAATCCAACAATGTATCCATAAGATAATTCACCACGACCAAGTTGGATTCATTCCAGGGGCACAAGGATGGTTTAACATCCGAAAATCAATCAACGTTATCCAACACATCAACAAAAAGAAATATAAAAACCATATGATAATATCAATAGATGCTGAGAAAGCTTTCGACAAAGTGCAACACCCATTCATGATAAAAGCCCTTGAAATTCTGGGGATACAAGGAACATACCTCAACATCATAAAGGCCATCTATGACAAGCCAACAGCCAGTATCATTCTCAATGGTGAAAAGCTGAAAGCAATTCCATTAAGATCTGGAACAAGACAAGGATGTCCACTCTCACCATTGCTTTTCAATATAATACTGGAAGTCCTAGCCAGGGCAATAAGACAAGAGAAAGACATCCAAGGAATCCAAATAGGAAAAGAAGAAGTCAAACTATCACTATTTGCAGACGATATGATATTATACATAGAGAACCCCAAAAACTCCACAGAAAAGCTAATTCAACTCATCAATCAGTTCAGTAAAGTGGCAGGATACAAAATCAACACGCAAAAGTCAGTAGCCTTCCTATACACAAACAATAAATCTGAAGAAGAAGAAATCAAAAAGACCATCCCTTTTGTTATTGAAACAAAAAAAATCAAATATTTGGGAATAAATCTAACAAAAGAGGTAAAGGACCTATACAAAGAAAACTATAAAACACTGTTAAAAGAAATAGAAGAAGACACAAAGAAATGGAGAGACATCCCCTGCTCATGGATTGGAAGAATAAACATTATTAAAATGGCCATCCTACCAAAAGCAATATACAGATTCAATGCTATTCCAATCAAAATTTCAATGTCATTCTTCAAAGAAATAGAACAATTATTGATGAAATTCATATGGAATCACCAAAAACCCCGAATAGCCAAAGCTCTCCTGAAAAAAAAAGAAGGGAATGGAGGCATCAGACTCCCAGACTTCAAACTATACTACAAAGCCATAATCATCAAAACTGCATGGTATTGGAACAAGAACAGACATACAGACCAATGGAATCGAATAGAAAATCCAGAAATAAACCCACAGATTTATGGTCAACTAATCTTTGACAAAGGAGCAAAGAATATGCATTGGAGCAAAGAAAGTTTGTTCAATAAATGGTGCTGGGAAAACTGGGTCGCTACATGCAAAAGAATGAAGCTTGACCACCACCTCACACCATACACAAAAATCAACTCAAAATGGATTAAAGAACTAGACATAAGACCTGAAACCATAAAATATATAGAAGGAAATATAGGCGAAACACTACGTGATTTGCACATCAAAGACATCTTTACAGACACATCACCCAAAGCAGTGATAGTGAAGGCAAAGATAAACAGCTGGGACTACATCAAATTAAAGAGCTTTTGCACAGCAAAAGAGACATAACAAAAACAAAGAGAAACCCCACCAACTGGGAGAACATTTTTGCACCCAACACTAATGATAAAGGACTGATCACAAAAATCTGCAAAGAGCTGATGAGACTCAACAACAACAAAGAAAATAATCCAGTCAAAAAATGGGCAGAAGAGCTTAAAAGAAACTTCTCTGAAGAGGAAATGCAAATGGCCAACAGGCATATGAAAAAATGTTCAACATCACTTGTCATCAGGGAAATGCAAATCAAAACTACCATGAGATACCATCTTACACCAGTGAGAATGGCACATATTAAAAAACTAGCAACAACAAATGTTGGCGAGGGTGTGGAGAAAAAGGAACTCTTCTGCACTGTTGGTGGGAGTGCAAACTGGTCCAACCACTGTGGAAAGCTGTATGGAGATTTCTGGACCTACTAAACATAGAGCTTCCATATGATCCAGCAATTCCACTCCTAGGTATTTACCCAAAGGACACAGAAACATCAATTCCAAAGAACACCTGCACCCCTATGTTTATAGCAGCACTGTTTACAATAGCTAAGCTTTGGAAACAACCCAAATGCCCAAAAATAGATGACTGGATCAAGAAGATGTGGTACATATATACCATGGAATATTACTCAGCATTCAAAAAAGATAAACACATGCAATTTGCAGCAACATGGATGGCGCTGGAAGGGATCATGCTCAGCGAAATAAGCCAAAAAGAAAAAGAAAAATACCGGATGGTCTCACTCATAGCAGGAATCTAGAAAACTTAAATAAGGGACCAGGAAAATGAATAGCTATAAGAAAGTGAAAATCAAAATCAACAAAAAACTATGAACCAGAGACACTTTTAGGGGGGCGGGGGTGGGAGGGGAGGGATTGGGGTCAGAATGGGGGGCTGCAATTGTATGGGGAATATAACAATAAAATTTATTAAAAAAAAAAATAAACATGTGATGAGGTTTATAATCAGAGGCATATTTCTCAGTGATACACATTTCCTTTGCCCAAGGTAGAAAATAATGTCAAAGGATCATGACCCTAATTTCCTCTCCACTATACTTTTAGTAGATTACCCAGAAGACGGGTGCGTAACTCCCGGGTCTTAATGCAGTACACAACAGGGTTAAGAACAGGAGGGATCAGTAAGTATACATAGCCCATGATAATATGCACCACGGGTGGAGCATGTTTTGCAAAACGATGGATAATGGATACCCCCAGCATAGGGATATAGACTAACAACACAGCACAGATGTGGGAGACACAAGTGTTAAGAGCCTTGAATTGTTCTGCCCGGGAGGCAATACCTAGCACAGTGATCAGAATCTTGACATAAGAGAGGAGAATGAGCACAGAGTCCACTCCAAAGGTGATAAGGATGATGATAAGACCATAGATGCTACTGATGCGGTGGTCTGAACAGGCAAGCTTGATGATATCAGGGTGCAGGCAATATGAGTGGGAGAGTACATTGGCCTTGCAAAACTTCAGCTGTTTAATGAGAAAGGGTCCTGGGAAAATGACAGCCACAGCTCGTAGCAAAAGTCCTACACCTATTTTGGCAATGGTGGAATTGGTCAAAATATTAGTGTATCTGAGTGGGTTGGAAATGGCGACATAGCGATCAAAAGCCATGGTGAGCAGGATACCTGATTCCATTAGGGAGAACACATGGATGAAGAACATCTGGGTGAGGCAACCATCAAAGTCTATTTCACGGATGTTGAACCAGAAAAGCATGAGTAGCGTGGGCAGGGTGGCAGCGCAGAGTCCAAGGTCGCTAGCAGCCAGCATGGAGAGAAAAATGTACATGGGTGCATGAAGTGACTGCTCCACCCGAATCACCACCAAGATGGTGATGTTACCCATGAGGGCAATTAGGTAAAGGACACAGAACAAAATGGATATCAGTGGATGTGAGTCCTCCAAGCCAGGGAAGCCTGTCAGAAGAAAGGGTCTGTAGTTACTCTCATTGGAAAAGACCATGATGGCTGGCAGATTACAGGATCCAAGGTTTTTTGTCTGTAGAATGAGGAAGTATGGATTAGCTCAAGATCCTGTTTCATAAAGTCTACATTATGCACTTGTGTTGGTTACTACAGTGGCTGAATTTCCCCTTCTCTTTGAACTAATTTTATTAAGCATTTTAATGATGTGGTTTAAGTAAAGATCTTCTAACGTCTCTTATGATGACTATTTGGTTGGTCAAATTTACAAATTTTTTAGCAAATATCTTTTTTTAAATGGGTATGTTCTATAAAAGTACTTATTATAAACACTGTCCTTTGTAATAAAAATATAAACTGGACTAAGTTGCTGATAAATACTGTGGAAGAACATGTATGACAGATCAAGGAATGCTCCTTGGGAGGTAACAATTAAGCTGAGATTCTACAGTTATGTGGTAGAAAAGAATATCTCAGACAGGGAGAAAAGTTAGAGGCAAAGGAGGGATAAAAAGTTTTGAAATCTATAATGCTTTGTAGAATTTATTTTAGATGTGGATAAAATTTGGCTTGAGTTGTAAAATAAGCTGGACTGGAAGGTAATTTTGGTAAGTTCATACAGAATCCCCAAATAAATAAATGTAAGGGTAGTAGTTTGTGTGTGTGTGTATGTGTTTTGATACAGTCGATGCCATGCTCATATTCATATATTTAAAAGATGACTACAGTTGCTTTTTAGTCAAATAATTGCATGGGTCATATTCTTAGGTTATTTTCCTATTTCAAGGAAACTGTCATTTACAATAATAGCCTATTTTTACTGAAAGGAATAATACTATGATCATGAGACAATAAAATTTTTTAAGTTTGACTCCATCAAATATACCAAACCCCTATGTAAAAATTTCTAGCTTACACTTATTTTTCAGATGAGATATCAGACTCATAAATAGCAATTTAGCAGTCAGATAGTTGAACTCAGTGGAGAGCAGAAAACTGTGCGGCCTATGAATTTTCCCTCATTGGGTATTTATTTCTTAAATTGACCGTATCATTCCACAAAAATATTTTTTTAAAAAGTAGGTACTGCTTGGGTTCAATAGCTGCATAGCCTTGGACAATTAATTTGACCTCTTAAAGTTTAGAGTTTTCAACTATAAATCATAGACAATAACAGAATAATATCTATAACATAAGAGTTCTATGTGGATTAAATTATATAATTTACATTGATAATTTAAAACCTAGCCTTGTGCATAGAACTTTCTCAGAAATAATAGTTATTAAAATATTTCTCAGCAGTTTGTCATGTTTCTTTGCTATAATATATTTAAAAAGCAAATAGGTTGCCTGAATCTATGTTGCTGACTGTGGAAACGATTAGAAATTTGAGCATCATTAATAAGATCCCAAGAATTCTTCTTGTAATGATGACATAGCATTTCATGCCTATTTACAGACAATCAGTTCCTTGTGTTTACCATCTGTTACTCATTTTGGAAATCTGGTGAATCAGAGAGAAGTTTACATCTTTAGAAAGACTGTAATGAAACAAAAATCATGAAAAATACCATCTCCCACAGGAATTGGTCTAATTATACAAATGAAATGGAAGAGGAAATAAAATCTAGAAATAAGAATTACCTTCTAAAATTTCTTCTTTCCTGGAATTTTAGTTAGAACCAAAGAGATCTCTGGTTTTCCACTGTCATTAGAAGATCCTTGCATTGGGGCCATAAGCATAAAGAAAATGCTCCTAAAATTATGTCTAGAACAAGTAGCTATTTATCTGTGTGTCTGTGTGTGTGTGTGTGTGTGTGTGTTGAATTTGTTTGAGGCTTCCCCTTAGAATATGTCCTCTGTGTCAAAGTTACCAGGAGTGGCTCCCCAGAGTCCACAAGACTCATCTGGCTATTTTATCACTTCGCAAGGCATAATTAAATCCTTCTTTTGTATTATCATAGTGTTTTCAACTAGGATATAATCCACATTACATATGAGAAATTTTATGCAATTGGTCTCCCAATTTTGTGGCTAGTATCACGTTAGCTGTAAAGACTATTTATATCATACTACATATTTTGTTAATGGCAGAATATATGAGCAAGGTTTTTTCCTTGTTTTTTTAACATGTTGATCTATAGAAAGAAAAAAATTAAAGAAAGAAGTCACAAAGATACGATTAAGTGATGATTAATGATGCCAGGCATTGCCACTGCTGACTAGAATATGTTATAATAACATAAATACTATGGAGATGGCCAAAAGACTTTGAAAAATGATTTGATAACGTTGAAAAAATAGTGACAGTGTTGATGATGAAAAAAATCACAGTGAAAGTATTATGTTCAAATAAGAATGAGGAATGTTTAACAAGAGCTTAAGTTTCCTTCTATCTGTGCTTAAACATAAGGCCATTAGACGTATTATTGCAAATCAGTGTGTTGATTTTAGCCCTCAAGAAGGAATGAAGAAATCAATCAATGTTGCAATGGTTGATGTGATATGAATTTGAGAGGAAAGAAGTAAGAAGAAAATTACCTAAAAATAATACCCTGAAAAGTGGCCCTAGTTAAATGAAGACATACTCAAAATGGGTATTAGTACATGCACTGTGAAAAAAATAGGTATTAGCTGCACTTAGGAACTTAGAATGGTTCTGAGGAACATAAGCACTAAAGATGGTGTGGGGTGATATCAATGTACTCAAACAGAAGGCAACAGGAAAATATCCTGCCGTGAATGAGGTATCAAGTACAATGGGTCATTTTAATAAAATTAGACAAATGAACCTGTTTCTAAAATGTCTCAACTATCACTTGATTGGAAAAATGCAGCAATCATCCTCACATGAATCCCTGACTTAAGAGATGCGAGATACAACCTTCATTAACTTATGTAGAGGATACTTTGTATGTAGTGGGTTATTTTCCTCTTGCTGCTTTCAAAATTCTCTATGCATTTGTGTGTGTGTGTGTGTGTGTGTGTGACTGTTGACTGATATGCTTAGGTGTATTTCTCCGAATTTACTTTTTTAATTTTTAAAAAAATTTCTTATGTCATTGTTTATTTTTGTACAATATTTAAATTCTCCCCTCAGGTGTACTCCCATAATTCTTCCACTACCTCGGCATCCATAACCACTCCTCTCCTTCTTCCTCTCCTGCAGCATGTCTCAGTTCTATGGTTTGCCTGCAAGTTTGTCTTTTTCCTGATCCTTTCTTTGGTTTCCTTATAATTCCCCTATAAGTGAGATCATCCAATATTTTTCTTTTTCCTTCTGACTTATTTTGTATAGCTTAATACCTTCTAGCTCCATCCATGTTGCTAAAATGACATGAGTTTATCTTTTTTGATCACTGAGTAGTGTTCCATTGTGTATACATGCCATGTCTTCTTGACCCCTTTGTCTGTTTGGGGGCATTTGGGTTATTTCCATATCTTAGCTATAGTAAATATTGCTGCATTCAACATAGGAGTGCAGTTTTCCCTTCAAATTAGTGTTTTATATGCCTTTTGGGTTATTTCCAGGAGTGGAATCACAAGATCATATGGTAGATTCATTTTTAGATTTTTTTTCTTTTTTTTTTTTTTTTTTTTTGTGGGACCCTCTCTGGCGGCGAGGAACAAACCGGCGCTGCAGAGGCTGCCGGCAGCCTCGCAGCCCAGTGCTCAACCGCTGCGCCACCAGGGGAGGCCCTCATTTTTAGGGTTTTAAGTTTCCACAGTGGCTGGAATAGTTTCCATTCCTATCAGCAGAGTAAGAGTGTTCCTTTTTCTCCACATCATCACCAACATTTGCTATTGTAATTTTTTTTTTTTTTCCTATGGGCCATTCTCAACAGTATGAGGTGGTATCTCATTGAGGTTTGACTTGCTTTTCCCTGATTATAAATGACGTTTGGACATTTCTTCATTTACCTGTTGGCCATTCACATTTCTTTTTTAGAAAAGTGTCTGTATAGATCATCTGCTATTTTTTGATGGGTTGTTTGCTTTGTTTTTGTTGAGTTGTGTAAGTTCTTTGTAGATCTTTGATATAAGTCCCTTATCAGTTTTATGGAGTGCAAATATTTTCTACCATTCTATGCAGTGTCTCTTTGTTTTGGTTACTCTCTCTTTTGCTGTGCAGAAGCTTTTTAGTTTGACATAGTTCCAGCTGTTTACCTTTCCTTCATTTTTCTTTGCATCTGGGGATGAGTCCTCAAAGATGTTTCTGAGGTGTATGTCAGGAGTGTTGCCTATGTTTTCTTCTACAGACTTTATGGCTTCAGGTCTTACATTCAAATCTTTTATCCATTTTGAGTTATTTTTTGTGTATGGTGTGAGGTGGTAGTCTAGTTTCAGTCTTTTGCATGTGGAGGTCCAGTTTTCCCACCACCATTTATTGAAGAGACTATCTTTTGCCAGTGTATTTTATATGCTCCTTTGTTATAGATTAGTTGACCATAAATATATGGGTGTATTTCTATATTTTCAATTTGATTCCATTGGTCTGTGTGTCTGCTTTTGTTCTATTTCTATGCTGCTTTTATTATTATGGCTTTGTAGTATAGTTCAAGGCTTGAGTGTGTAATATCTCCATTTTATTTCCTTTTAGTTATTTTTCTTACTGGAATTTGTTGTGCTTCTTGGGTATGTTCATTATGATTTCTATCAAAATTAGGAAGTCTTCAGCTATTATTTCTTTAAATATTCTTTCCTTTTTAATTTTCTCTCATTATTCTTGGACTGTCATTTTCTGTGTGTTGGTACACATGGTGATGTACCTCAAGATAATCTGTTTAATTTTCTTTCTTCTTCTTTCTCCACAATCCTCAGACTGAACAAACTTTATATTTTATCTTCATGTCCTTTGATTTTTTTTCCTTCCTACTCAAATATCCTATGGAATACCCATAGTGTTGTTTTTTATTTTTAATTATTACACATTTTAACTTGAAAGTTTATATTTGATGCTTTAAAATTTTTCTCTTCATTGATATTCTCAATGTGAATAGATGTCATCATAATACTTCAATCTTTATGGATGCTTTATTT